TTAACCAACATCCATTTCAAACGTTTACCTACGTCGGGCCAACAACGTAATGTGATGTTGAAGCAAAGTCTGCAATCACATCTAATATTTACAACCTCTAACCAACGTCGGGCCAACGGTTTTAACCAACCTCCATTTCAAACGTTTACCGACGTCGGGCCAACAACGTACTGTGACGTTGAGACGACGTCTGCAATCACATCTAATATTTACAACCTCTAGCAAACGTCGGGCCAACGGTAGTACCCAACCATCTTTTTAGTAGTTTGCCGACGTCGAGCCAGTAACAAATCGTGACGTTTTACCAACGTCGGTAGTCAGACTGAATATTTACGACGGCTTACCAACGTTGGGACGACATCGGAAAATCGACAAATATATTCATACGTTGGGCCAACGTGAAATTCCAATGTTGGTTTGACGTTACTTCTCCGACCAAATTTTACAACCAAACACCAACGTCGTACCAACGTCAGATATCCGACCCCGACGCTTACCGACGCTTGCCAACGTTTACCAACGTTGGGCCAACGTCGCTTTGCTAGCTGGGTAGATTGGATTGGATTAGATTTATTCGGTGTAAACACCAAGGATAGCCCACAAAAGTCTAGAAGAAGTCTTATTTCCAATGGTGTCCTTCTGGTGGTGATTGGTCAGTACATCTGAGAGACAATCCCCTACTCTTTTCCGAAGAGTGTACTGCGTTCTTTAACGTGCACATGGGCTATATTGGACACGGGACAAACGGCTTAAAACGTCTCATCCGAAAGACGGTGCGTTATTGTAACTTGTATTTCAGCCCTCTAGCTGAAACACAAGGAGAGGCAGCGATGGGAATTGAACCGGGGACCTAGAGATCTCCACGGTTCAGCGCACACACAGTGGCTACCACCAGATAACCCGACTGATCTAAGCTGCTCTCTCGAATGTATTCCTAGCCCTACTCTTATTGGTCACTTCAGAGGGTTCATCATGCTTTTAAGTGTCAAATAACACTTTTCATCTGAGTTCTATTCAAGCCAGCATAACCACACAACGCAGGTCCAGTTTTTTTCTGGGTGCAGTCACACTTAATGTATTGCCAGCCTTGAGTTATATAGACCTACTGCCTGTTGATTATCCCTAGTGAACAAAATGAAAATATTTATAATAAAGAATAATATAATTTTTGAGAGAATAATCACTAATTAATTTAGGTTTTTATTTGTCTTTGCAGTTGGTGGAAGGTTCCCGAATCCATCCAAAAATAAGAGTGAACAGAGGACTTCAAATCAACACAAAGATAGTAATCAGATGCAAAAACAAATGGTACTAACCAATTTTTTTTAATTGTTTATTATATTCTTTGAGCAACGATTCAATTCATGATGAGGATAATAATAAATAATATCATTATTATTATTTGTTTTTATAACACATGTAAATAGATCCTTGTCATTTTATTGGTGGATTTCATATTATGTGACATTGGTTATTTACACCATTCGTTACTCATCATGAAAATTTAGTTCTACTACAATCTTTTCATTAGTTGAAAGAAGATGGACTGTTCCATTTAGAAAATAGGTAGACTTAATTCTGGTTTTTTTTCATAAAATATAAAATGAAAAGAATCTATTTTAGGTGTGTTATAAAGCAAATTATTTTTTTTTATTTGCACAATGGAAAGAATATTTTTATGAGATGAAAGATGACTGTTCCATTCAACTTTGCTCCACCTCATTGAGTGGAACAGTCAATCTTTCAACAAATGATAATATTTTCCAATTACACTCAAACATTAATTATATGTTTAAAAATGAATCTTCTTTGGTTGTAAAACAAGACAACCAAAGACAAAATCGAAATGATCTTTTTTTCTATTTAAATGTTTAAACTGTAAGTTTGATTGTAACCTTGTGTCGAATTTTTATTTTCATGTTCCTGTGCGCAGGCTTCCTACCAATCATTTGTTAAAAGTTCCGTACTCTTGTGTTAATGTTTGTACTAATGGTATTTTTCGTCGTGTTGCACTTTCTTATAATAATCTAGTTCAAATTCTATTTTTAATCTTATACTAAATACGGGTTTTTAATATATTATTACGATTTTTTTATGCTTTTTATGTTTTTTTTTTTTTTTATTTTTATATATTTTTATGAATGATATTGTATATTTTTATGGCGACTCTGTTTTTGGTGTTTTTGATACACTGTTGAGTCTTGAATGAATGAATGAATAAATAAATCAATCAATCAATCAATCAATCAATCAATCAATCAATCAATAAATACTGTACTGATAAACTGTGTAAAATCAGTTAGAATAGAGAATACAATTAAAATATTTAAAACCTTTTATTGCTGTTGGCAATATTCTTTACAATCAACCAATGAGAGGTCTATCAGAATTGTTTTCTCATCTGAATTTTTAAAATTTAATAATTTATTTCTGAGAATATGAAAGAAATTAACTTGGTGACAACAGAATCTGCCATTTCAATTCGTTTCCAGTAACCACCTGGAATAGAAGTGAAAAAAATGATGGTGAACTCACTCATTCTTAAGGTTTGATTGCTCTACTTTTAACTTTCCAGACATCATCAAGAAACCAGGAATCAAGTGACTCTAGCAGCTCATCATCGCCATCATCATCATCCAGTTCATCAGAAGATGACAGGCATTCGAAGAAGAGGAAAAAGAAGAAACACAGAAAGAAAGATGATTCATCAGACAGTGAGGAGGAATTTAAAAGAAAAGACAAGAAGAAAATGTCAAAAAAAGATCAGGAGAGGGAGGTGTCCAGAAGGAAAAGAGATGAAGAGTTTGATCATGATAGGAGGAAAGATAGAGAAAAAGGAAGAAACAAAGATGGAAAAGATCATCGAAAGAGAGAAAGGAGCCCAAGTCATGAAACACACCACAAAAACGACAGAGAAATTGCCAGACACCAAAAATATGAGAGAGAAAGAAGTAGAAGTCGCGACAGACACCAAAAACGCGAAAGAGAAAGAAGCAGGAGTCGTGACAGGCACCAAAGATATGAAAGAGAAAGAAGCAGGAGTCGTGACAGACAACAAAGATATGAAAGAGAAAGAAGCAGGGATCGTGACAGGCGCCAAAGACATGAAAGAGATCGAAGTAGAAGTCGCGACAGACACCAAAAACGTGATAGAGAAAGAGATAGAAATAAGTACAATTCCAGGAGTCATCGAGACCGAAGGTGATAACCAAGCTTTTACTAAGATGGGTGTTTTCAAAAGCTTACATATGGGTGATGTTTGACCGTGTTAATTCTGGTTTCCATAGAATCGTACACAGTCGCTACAGCGTTCTCGCATCAAACCTTGTACTGCGTAGCTACGACTAACGCAATCAGGAATGCTTCTCTGATTCAACTGGCCAACCAGCGTCGCCAAAGGAGTCGGCGATTTTTATGGAAACCAAGCTTATCACTTGTGTATGACAAGAGTTTAACAAGTACATACTTGGGAACCAAAGTTATATTCCTGCTGCAGAGTATTAAGAATTAAATCATGGGATTCTTTGTCTTGGTGTGAAGTTAAAAAATAATTTTTTTAAATGATGAGGTATATACACAATTGGTTTACATATTCCTTATTCTGTATTTAAAGTACAGGCTAGGCTAGATTATAAATATGTTTTTATAGTGGAAATTTTAAATATGCAAATCAGTCAATTCATTTTACTTATTTAATATTGTCAGTGGCTGCAAATTTTTTAACCAATTTCTGCCATTTAGCTCTTTATTATTTGAACTGGTGATGCTAAAGATTCCCCAACTAAGGTTCCGAAGTCCCTTGCAGCAGACCAAGCATCCACCATGACTGGAACTAATTTTAAGAATAGTAATCTAGATGCTTGGAAATTGTACTATAAGGCATAAGAATTGATTTTTCAAAGCAGGACGTGTTCCTCGACAAAATTTTTGGCTTCTTCCCTGATTTGGTTTTTGTGGCTCCTTGGACCCTTGGCTGGTGCTGCTTCTGCACTGGTTTGAGATTCAAAAGAATACCTGGAACACGTTCAAATGCATACGTAGATACTCGTCATTACTATTTACATTATTTTTATTCAAGTTACTTTAATTTAATATATTCTGATTAACGACTAATAATGATAAAAAATAAATAAATTTGTAATTAAGTGATTCTTGTTTTTTACCTCATTTATTATTTGAGGGCCCCTAATGAGCAGCAATGCTGCATGGGTCACCCTCTTGAAATATGGTATTAAATAAATAGCATTCCTGTATTTTTAAGATAAGCTTTGAATATTGACTGGTATTCAATTTGAGGATTTCTGTAGAAAGAATTTTTGAAAATTGTTTTCAATGTGTGTCGCATTGGAAGTTGATAATTTATTTGATCCTATTAAACATTTTGAAAGAATTTTTAAGTGTTTTTTTTTGGGGGGGGGGGTTACCACATTTGTGTACACCTGTACAAATTGGAAACCCCAGAAATCTTTCTTTATTTCATTTTACTGTACAGTTGAATCATCACGCAAACACCACTATATTGCAATTTCTGCTAATTTATTAATTATCTTCATTTAAGAAGATAATTGTTCGATTTATCATCAACTTGAGAAGACATTTTGAATGATGGCATTTTTTTTTTATCTTGTATTTTACTTTTCATACGGAAGCCCAATATACTTCATGATGCACTAATTTTTGTTTTTGCAGGCACGAGACCTAAAAATTCAAACCTCCCTACCTGGAAATTTTATTTCCTAATTGCTCGAAAATGCATTCAGGATCTACATTTTTCCTTTTTACTTGAGAATGCATACATTCCAGGTCATCTCCACACAATTTATTTTTACACTGTACGCATCCTTTGATCTTTCCGACAGTGCTTTGTAAAACAACAAACTGTATCTACAGTGTTTATAGTGCAGCTTGTTGGTGAACATGATGTTACCATTATATTTTAAATACTGTAAAACAGAGAATTTTAAAATGGAAGGGGCTACAAAAGATCACAAATCATACATATGTTTTTATAACAGGCATTATATTGAAGCATGAGATTTAGATCCTGCGAGACCAATCCCAAATGCGTGATTTTCACGCCGAATGTGTGACTTCTTTAGTTGTAACTTTTGAATATTATTATTCAAATGTATTACATTGAGAATTAACTACAGTATTAACATTAACTGGATTTTAAGAACAAAATCAATGTGACAAATTGCAATTAATGTAATTATGAATTTATTTTAATTCACAAACAGTCCACATTTTTAAGATGAATAATAAATAATACAGCATTGGAAATCTCAACATAAATCTTCAGAAATAACAGGTTAAAGTACATAAACATTTATCACAGAAAACTTGATTGTGTCAACAAACCTTAAAAACAACTCCACTCTACACACCTTGCGCAGTTTACTCTATCGTATAAGTGGCGGGCCATTTGCAGTTGAATGAGATTCAAATTTTTAAGTTATTGAATACTGCTGTAATAAAAATTTTAAATACTGAATACAGAATTGTATATTAAAATAGAACAAGGCCTACAGGATGGATGTGTTCTCTGTAATACTATGCGAAATACAGTATCTATGTACATTTACTGTAGAATGATCACTCAGGAGGATGGACATTTCTGCTAAGCCCCGTCCCTTTTTGGCCAGTGGTGGGTACGCTTGACAAGGTATAAAAAAAGTTCCACCTTAGTAGAATTTGCTATACATTCATAATACTGGGAGCCACTTTCATTGATAAAATTAATACTAAATATATCTTGGCTATCTAAACTAAAAACTCAGTATAAAAATTTCTTTTCTTTAATAAACTATATAAAACTCAACATACCCATCACTACTCCCTGAACCTCTAGCCACACACAGTAATTATTTCGCAGATACATCCTTCCCATAACACCAACTATCATGGGGAAGGTGTCTGACGGGACCTCAATTGTAGGCAGAGGTCAAGGGGCGAAGCACTGGTGGGGGTCCCGAGAAAAGGGTTCCTCATTCTATAATCTTTTAATGAAACTGCAGTGTTGGAAGCCCCAGCAAACACAACTTTATAGATATGAAAGGAAATAACCTAGTAAACTGCCATGTTTTTACAACGTTGAAGTAAAATTAATATTGTTAGCAAGATCTATATACATTTTCCCACCACAAAATTAAATAATTTAGTCAGCACACCATATGAAAACATGATAACTGGTCCTTTTGTATTATACTCTCTTTATGTAGCATAACATTTTTTAATTAGGAAGATAATAAATAATAAATATTTACATATTTTTAGCACCATGTTTTAACAAACTCAAAGCATCAGTACTAGTGGCGGATGTAAGGGGGTGAACAGGGTGGCTAGCCACTCCCCTTCGGTTACCTTGAAAAAAAATGTGAGTGTGCTTCATGTGGGAATCTCAAATGGGAAGGGATACCCACCCAAAACCACTATCCCCCCTCTAAAGTGCATCCCTGGGTGCTCCTCGCATTATCCACCACTCATTGCTAAATCCTAGATCCACCACGGAGTGCTTAACACCTTAAGCAGGGTACTCACTGTGGTAGTCGGCCGACGCGATTCTATGGAGAACGCAGCACCATGACATACGACAGTTGTGCAATGCAGTGTGAGCCCGGCTTTATACTGTGCAAACTATTATGTCGGGAAACACATTACAGTTCAAATACAAATAAGTTAAAATTCTTTCTATTATTTTTACTAACATTTCAAAACTCTATAAAATTTTGGTGGGTAAAGAAATACATAACTTTAATGTGGATTCGTTATAAGGGCAACAAAAATGAGTTTATGCCTAAAAAGCAGAAAATACACAAATAATACAACAATTATGTATTCGCATCGCGTACCATCCTGCAAAATAAGCCTGGCCAATGTTATTCCAGCCTTATATTCTCATAAAAGAATATTGTTCATTGTAGTCAAGAAAAAAAAAAGCTAAAATGCCAACCCAGAATTTTGTAAAATTTGGGTCGGTCGGGGGTGGCCAACAAAATATATATATTTTTATTTGGCTTAATAAAGGTTCCAAAAGTTCCTCTCTTGAATAAGGGCTACACCAGAAGAAGTATACAGTGCACCCTCTAATTTGAGACCACTTTTCCAAAGACCAAATAACTATCTTCAACCTTTTGATACAAAGCTAGCCCTCTAACTGACGACCAACCCCAAGACCACCCCAAATTTTCAGGTCCCGAAAGTGGTTTTGAATTGGAGGGCACACTGTATTCTATTTGGAATAAGCTAGGACTTAAATAAGAGAAAATACTGTACGTACGTACACACATTTAAAATTTTGTACAGTATCATCAAGACAATATTATAGAATTCTAACATTGCAAAACATTAGATAGGCATATGTATAATGATTAGTACTTGGTACTAGTAATTTGTGGTTTTAAATTTGTTATATTTGTCTTTTGTCAGTGTTCTATTTATAACAAAGATTGTAGTTCCAGTGGTAGTAGCAAAGCTAAGTTGAAAAACCCACATAACAAATTTTAGTTTGATAAACCTAGGTCAAAGGTTGCAGTGCGACTGTCATAACAGCTACATAGCAGACTACAGCTACAATCCAGGTTTGATAAACCATCTCAGATATTAGTCCACCCTATGTTGTACAAAGCTACGTCACAGAACGCGGTCGCGTGACAGTGTTTATGACAATCTTAGTTTGAAAAACCAAACTTGTAATTGTATAATTATCAAACTAGGTTCACCTGGACAAAACATGGCTACAACCACGATTGTATGACCTTAGGTTGAAAAAATGCATCACAGATTGTAATTCGATGCCATGGAAATAACGGTTCGACTGCAATTTATCGTTGTTTGCTATCACCAATTCCAAGTTGAATCTTGAGTTTTTGAAAGCGGTCCTTGATGTAGTAGTAGAATTCATACTCCAACGACATTTGCTTCAAAAGTATTGTTCTCACTTCGTCCGACGGTACCTCCTTGTGCTTGGTTACGGTTGCTGACCGATTACGAGTAAAAGTGTTGCCTGCAGAAGATGTATCTTAAAGATTTGGTAATCAAAATTATATAATAAAAATTGTATAATACATTAAAGGCATTAAAGATTCCGGAGGGGAAAAAATGTTGATACATGTTGTAGAATGATTTTTCTAAGACAGAAAAAAGTTGTTTTACGAAAAACTGGGAAATGGTGAATTAAGAAAGGTTAATAAATATATAAAATACAGGGAGAAAAGGTGTAAAAAATAGCGGTTACACCTTCTTTCCCCCAGTTTTTAAATATTCAAAAATCTGTATCTCATTCACCCCAGATTTTCGGCAAACAATTTTTTCTGTCTTAGAAAAATCAGTTCTAAAACATACCAAAATATTTTTGTCCTCCGGAGTCTGACTATAAGAGAAATTAAATTCATGATAACACCAATAAAACAATTATGGCAATACTACTATGAATAAGCAGGGACTTGTTTATAACAACTCCCTGGAGTAAGGTAATTTGTAATTGTTATTACAAAGCCCTTATAGACTTAACAATCCATCGTCCCTAGTATCAAATACTGTAGGCCTATAATAGCCGAATTGATTGACGTCACTGAAATATTATACAACACGTTATGAAGAAGCTGGAGCCAGCATTTAACTTTGTATTGTATACGGTAAAGTTATTGGCCTAAATTATATCCACCTGTCGCAAAATAAAAGTAGCGCCCTCTATTGTTCTTGTGAAAATCGCACATTGTGTTGTCATTAAAATTTTGCCAACGGTCAAGCTGAATTAGCAGTGATTATAGTTTGATGGTTATGTTGTGGTCTCCTTCCATCTTCAATGGCCGGGATCGCTCTCAAAAACAAATGTGTAGAAACTTAAGAACTAAAGACATGTTACCACCAGAAAATCTTTACAACCTAGTCAGTAATACATCTCGTTACTTTTAGACGTTTAGATGCAGTACAATATGCTTATTATAGAGTCCTAAAGGCCTTCCAATTATTATTGTCTATAGC